TAGATTTTTACTATATGATCTGGTTTTGGTTGGTTTGAGGTAATATAATAATATCATAGTAAATAATCTTTATCGTAAATTTGTATATATTATAATTGCCTTATTTATTATTAGATTAGTCTTGTAATAATTTTTATCAATAAATACATACCTAAAAATTTGAAATTTCAGATTATAAAAGATAAATTTTAAAATATTATACGGCTTTTATATAACGAAAATAAAAACTTAATTTTAAATCAAAGCTATATTGAACACATTAAATACAAATAACATAAATTCTCTTAAATAATAAATAATATCAATATAATACATTTATCTTAATACTGCAATTATATATCAGTACGTAAATACTAAAACTTATCTTTATATATATTTATTTTCTTATTATTTAATTTCAACAATGAAATACTTGACCATATGATTGTTTACTTCTTTCACTACAAGATTTACCACAAAGCTAATAATATTATCAAACATTGAAGCTTACAATTAATTTTACTCTCTGAATCTATTCTTGATAAATGTAGGCAAAGGTAAAGTGTAAAGCATCTTGTTTAGAATTATAAATCCAAAAGCAAAAGCAAAACTCAATCCAAGATTAAAATCTGACTCCAATTCTTCTAACACGGTTTCTCCGATAAGTCCAGTTCTACTAAACCGTTCAATGAGATACTCACTGCCTGACAAGTATTTACAATTTGCATTGGAATTTTGACCATTGAAATTAGATGTTTCTATTAAACTGATATTAGTGCAGTTGTAGTTTCTATTATATGGTAAATTTGTCAAAGAGGGTTGACTAAATATCAATCGATAGAGAACATTTGATGAGTAGCGTGTGTGGGTCATATAAGTTAGAGTTTGCAACCAGTCTGGCAATCCACGGAAAGATCTGAAAATAGGAGAAGTATTATCTAGAGTTAGAGAAAAACATACATTGCAGTAAAAAACACATGAATAATAATAACAAATATTATATTAGTAGTTTTTGGCATCTTATATATGCATCTGGTATTAAGAGTTTATATCAAATATAAATTAACTTTAAAGTCAAAGATTTTAATTGATATTATTGGAAGCAGTATTTTTCTTAAGTTACTAAAGCTATTATAATTGTCCTCTGTATACTTTATTGTTTAGCACTTTAATTGTACATTTTCCAGTTAAAATATATGTTACTTGTAGTATTTAAACATAAACCAATAATGCATAAATGCTTTTGAAGATTACATCCCTTTATTAAAACTAATTCTGAGGGAATCATAGGCTTCAAACCATTGATTGAATGCCATATAAGAATTTTGTTTTGATTTAAATGATGTACAACTTTGCTTCACAACAAAAATTTGAAACGGAATTTGTAGTAGTAAAAAACTTAATAAATCCATTTCATGTAGTAAAAAAAGTATTACATACAAAAGACTACTACAATGCATTACAAAGTCATCTATTTATATTTATATTTTTTCCAACATTGTTGCCGAAGACTAAATACTTTTTTAAGATTTAAATTTATGTATGAAACATAGGAATCTCATAGCAATATCGAATACTGCTGATGCCTTGTGTTAGAATTCGAGCTCTCATATTCATTTTATAACTCCTAAACCTATCTAAAGCCATCTAGTATGATAAATAATTTTAGAAACTGGGTACAGATTTGTATGAAGTACAGTATTTCAACTTCATCTACTCATGAGCAATGAAATGATAAGATAGAAGTAAAAGTTAAAAATAATATAAAGTATTAAATTAATAAACTCAAAAAATCAGTGTGATTGATATCACTTTATGTAGTTTTGGTTAGTTGTAGATCTCAAAGTAATTGAAAAGTGGTTAAGAACTAGAAAATTTAACTGAATCAACCAAATCACAGTACATTACAATCACTCTAGGAGTTTATGTGAATGTCGAACAAATACCACAAATTTAGCAAAATATATATATATATTTATATATATATATATAATATATATATTAATAATATAAATATATATATACATCATATATATAATTATATTAAAATAACTAAATCAACCAAATCAAAGCATATTACTTCACTCTGATGGGAAAAAGATAACATGAAAACCACAGAATAATTTAGCAAAACGTGAAACTGAATTGCAGTTGTTTATAGAAAAAAACACCAAACTTTCATCAGAAACAAGTTTT